AATACGTGTCTGGAGTGCTGGGAATAGCCTACAATCCCTTCTTAGACTCGGAAGCTGGAGGAGCCCACAGAAACCATGAGGTAGCGGAGCTGCTGAAGTTTTGGACAGAAAGAATAATGGAGATAGACGCGGTGGAGAAAGAGGGGCCGAGCCTGGGCCTGATTCTTGAGAAAACACCAGAGGTGATAAGCATGCCGCGCTCAAACAAGAGAGTTGAAGTAAACATGGGCGGTGGAAATGGCTTGTTAACCACGAACTTGGGAGTGATATGGAAGCTACTAAGACCCTCCTGGTGTCCACATCCCCATGCGAGTCTAATCGAGGAAACCACCGAGCGAGTGAGGTTAGCACCAACGGAAGATGAAGATCTGGCGAAGTTAAGTGTGCTGCATAAGCTAATCACGCCCCAGATGCAAGAGCCAAGCGAAAGGACGAGCGACCCCGGGTCAGCAAAGAAATTGGAGCCGGGTAGCTGTCTGGATTCGACGTGTGGGAACGGAGAGCACATCTGCGATGGACGGTCATGCGTCAGGATACTGTCGTTTCAAAAAGAAGACCTGGTCACTTGGTTCGAAGACATCACAGAAAGGGAGAAAAGTGAAGTGCAAATAATAGCGGAATGTTATGCGAGAACCACGGTGAATATAGCGACAGCTCTCGGATTCTTCTCGAGAATGTGTGGTCTGCAGGCACTGGAGAGACTGGAGTCTGAGCATCATTTAGTGACGGCGTTGAGCGTGGAATCATGGCCCGGGGTGTTGCAGGTGACTCAAAAACACATCCGGAGCTGGAAAGTTGGTCTTGAGGCGGAAATGGGATTTCCCCTGAGCGAAGCTTATGGCTTGCCATTGAACGCGAAATCGCTGATAGGGTCAATGATGGCCAACTTGTGCGGAAGTCACTACCCGCTACACATGGCGATGGTGGAAGTGTCCAGCCAGAGAATACTGGTGGACAAGGCCTTCTCAGTGCCCAAGTGCGTGAGGTTGGCTCGGATGTCGCATCACTCGCACAAGTTGTTGAGAAAAATCAAAGGGACAGTACCAAAAGAATTGAGAGATGACTTAAGCGAAATCTGGGGAGAAGATCTTCTGAAGTTGGAAAGAGAAAACACAAGCGATCACGAGAGAGAAAACGTTATCGGGAAACCTGTGGGAAGTACTCCGAACCTGGAAGACAACGACACGATGCACGAGAAAATGATGGAGCTTGAGCCTCTCTTGGAAGCCTCAGGGGAGCGTAATCTCAGGAGCATTGAGATCTCTCATGGGGAATGCCCATGCCACTGTTTGGCACAAACGGTGTGGTATCCAGATCACAAGAACCTTTGCCTGGTGTGGGATGTGGAAGAGATTCGGTCGATCGGACTACCGGATCACCGGCAGAAGGTGACGCTCTTAGTAGTGAGTACGATGTTAGCTCTGAGATGGATAGAAGAGAATATAACGAAATATCGGGAGGCGACGACGCCAACGGCTGAGTCAATATACGCGATAGACTACAGCAGGAGACTTGAGTTGTTTGAGACTGCGTGCAAAGTATTCGCCATACCAACGGAAGTCAGGCACGTATGGAGTCGCTTGAGGTACTTTCCATGGTTTCGGGCGACACTGACGTCTTGGTTGTACAGGGCAACGAAAGATCACATGAGAAAACATCAAAAGGAGTATCGACAGTTCCAGGCCGAGATTGGGCCGGAAGCTTTCAAGAGACCCCTGCTAACCCATCGTAATGCGATCACGACGGGATGGAAGAGAGTGGGTAAGATGTCTAGAGACAACACCAAAGCGAGGGAGTCGATACTAGAGGAAGACCTGGCGAAGAACGTGAGCTTGAGCCTGCACAACTCCTTTTGCTTGAACCGAGAAGCTAGGGTGAAGGCACTACCCAACCAAGCAAAGAGATTGCAGGAGCAGAGAGAATGGATGCGATCCTATGAACAGCTGAAGGCTTGGGAGGAGATTGTGATTAGTTCCGATGATGAAGAGGAACTGTTGAGACAGTTTGCCGCATCTAGCACTTCAGGAGGCAGTACCTCCAAGGCGAAGAGCACGAGATGAATGGGCAAATCGGATGGATCTTGAGTCTTGAGAGGGAAGGGGGGCTTGAGTGTGAATCCGAGTGAAACTTGGATTCACGAAAAAGAAATTTTAACAAAGTAAATATTGTTACTAATATACTATATCTATTATATAGATCAAAATGCTGCATGACAATTTCCTGATTGAATAGGACAAAAGAGATTTTTAAATGATTGGCTTGAAAAGCGAAAATTCAAAGGTGCAGGTAAATGCAGATTTTGATTGCTGTTTAGCAATAGTGTGAAAATTTTAAATGGTCGTGAATTTTGGGGTGTAGATAATCTTGAATCTGCTGCAAACTTCTGTAAATGACCACTGGCACTGTATCTTGAGCAACACTCGGTTTTTCTGGGACTCACTGGCAGAAGACAGCGCGCGATGAGGACATCGATCTCGAGTCCGGGGAGTATGTGCCAGTCGGTCATATTTGGAAGTTTGACCTTGAGAAGAGCAGAAAATACTTGATTTTGAAGTGAAATTTAATTTTTCAAAATTTCGAAAGGAACATGTCATGCACGATTTTCTCGCGATAACTGAAAATCAGAAAAAGAAATGAGAGCAATTTTAGAACAATTGCGGGGAAGTTGTCAATTAAAAACGAGTGGGAAATTGCTATTCGCAATTTCCATCATAGTGAACAAGAGTAGAGCTGTCCTACTTGAAATAGAAGACAGAGTATCCCCGAGAGAGCGATTACTAAAGTTGGACCAGAGTGAACCTTCAGCGGAAAGGCGGACAACTGGAGTGTCCCAACGGTCCAAGAGAACTCAAATTCTAGAGCATGAACTTATCCTTGCTGTCCAAACTATAAAACATTAAACTTCTCTTAGTTATTTATTTCTTGAGTTAGTTACTGACTGGATTATTTTCCCAACTCTTGAGAGCGCTGATATGTGAGTACGAATTTAAATTCTAGAGTGTGTTTTATGATTGTTATGTTGAGGTAAGGCGAGTTTTAGGTTGATCCATCTGAAATGGATCAAAGTCACACTGTCTAATAAAAAGTAACCTAACGGATTGTTCCAACCCGGTTTTTAACGGCGTTCATGTATTTTGGGTATCTAGAGACCTAAGTATGGGGACGTTTCTAATTCTAGAGTGGGGGGATATTTTAGTAGTAGCCTTTAAGCTGTAACGGGTCGTAGTCTCATGTCACAAGCGAACCGAACTGGCTCCGACCGTTCTTGAGGTGGGAAAACACAAGAGATAGTGTCCCTGACCCTTGAGCCAGTGGTTATAGGGCCTATTTTTCTTAAGCCTCATGTGTGACTGCAGTAGACGAATGTTACAGCCATAAAAACATATATGTAACATTCGCCCGGACGTACATGCCGACGGAAAATAAAGACAGAATTTGAAATGATTGACTAGCTTCTAAACACAGCTTCACATGCTTTTAACCGTCTCTACCAAAGCCAGTTCTACGTGTGGTCCATTAACATCGGATCGACAAAGTCGTTACTTTTTAAGCTAATGGGCAGATCGAGAAAATTAACTTAACTACATGCAAAATTAGTGAGCTCATGGCTGGGTCTCAGTATCCCCATACCTCGAGTTTACTCCTTAAAACAGGTCTTTTACTTAATTATCATATTGTTTTTGTTTTTGTTCAGTAGATAAAAATCATCATATCCATCGGAGATGGATCAACCCTTTCCCTCAACTCTTAGATTCTCATATTCTGAAAAAAGAATTAGATGTTAATTAAACCAATCTCAGGGCATTTCCGGAAGCCAAATGATATTTAAAAACCAGTTTCAGTCTCTTACCAAGGCCCTTTCGGATTCTTGAATCCGGTCAAGGAACGGTCTTGTTGCGGTCCAGTAAGGGTAGTAAAATCTTCCCAATACCCATCCCAATTCTCGGGAACTGTTCCGTAACGATTGTAGCCGTACAATCGTTACAATTCGGATAGTCTCAATTGTATAGTTTTCACTCTTTTTCACTGTCGAGAATCGTTGTCGTTTGTACTATCGAAAATCGTTCTTCTTATCCCGACTTTGCGAAACGTTGATCTGATTTTGGTGCATTTTCATTAACTACTAAATTTCAAGGTCGTGACGTGTCTTTATTTTCGAACAAATTTTTTAAAAATATTTCGTCACTGCAAATTGACCTCTGCAAATTGACCTCTGCCAATTCATTAAATTGAACTAATAACACTGTTACATCGTCGAAACTGCCAATTTTCTCACTTGTCTGCTGCTAATAAAATTTCGTTGTTGACATGCATTTTGACCGCCATTCTGTCGAATGTCACAAATTGTATCTTTGTTATAAAAGTATACTGGTTTTTCTAGTGTCGAGTTACGTTTTTTCTTGAAGAAGTGTAACCCGCATCGAGTTTAATTATTAGTACATCAACTCTAATCGTCTCCTTTGTATCTTCATCACTTCCATATCTAGAATATTCCTAAGATACGATAAAGGGACTCCTGACTGTAACCTCGGTTTATATGATACTTCTGACCATCAAAAGAAAAAAGTTTTACTTGTATTTCTCTTTTTTGGCTTAATAGGATTCGGCTGTTGATATGTTGGCTTAGAGGGCTCTTTAGGAGTTTCTTTCGGGTCAATGAGTGCCTGCTCAAGAATGGTTGTTTTTTCGGCTTTTTTACTGGTTTGTAACTTTTGTTCCGATATTTGCTTAAGGTTCAGTTGTTTTACTTGGTATTTTTTCTTGAAATAAGTTTTATTCAAGGCAAAGATATGCCAATTCTGGGTAGATAATTCATAATACATTTGAGGGCTTACTTTTTGTTTCTGTCGATTAGTTTGTCTTGTTATGTTTGTGTTGTATCGCAGGTGGTGCGAGGTTTCGCTTTGCTCCTGTGTGATCATTATGAAAATGTAACATTCTACTGCTCTTAATAGTTACCAGTCCGCTGTTTTGTTAGTTAATGAATCTATTGTTTTTTTTTCAGATAAACTTGATCAAATTAAGCAGATCTTGTTACACAGAATCTATGGCTTTGAAACGAATCAATAAGGTGAGCTTTGAGGAATATTTGAAACTTCAAGTTGAATTTTAGGAATTCATAGCGCTTTTTTTTTGCAATTTATTAAACATTTAGGTATGTTCTGTTTTCACCACATGCATTTTATTTGATTTTGACATCATTTTTTCTTCAAGTTTTCATTGTGGAGTGTTTGGTGTATTATCCCATCCCGATGTTAATCGTTGAACGTATATTTTAAAGACATCATTTGAATTTGGGGTACAAATGTGATAGAAGGGTCCCGTCCCAGGTAAAATCAAGTGTGACGGAGTGGTCCCAATTTTCAGCATTAGATTTTTTTTTTAAATCATTCGACGTCGCGCGATCTTTTTCAAAATTTTCTCAAGCATAAAAAATGTGACTTATTTACGCTATCTTAAATCATGTTTTAATTATGGCATCATCGAGCTGAAAAGTTGGATTTTTTTGAAGCACTGTGTTTACATTAGGTACCCTGTTGTTTTCTCGGAACCCTCTATCACACTTATATCGAATTTGGAGTAACAAATATCGCTATCGCTGAACAATAACGCTTGTTAAGCGTTCAGTAAGCTAATTCAGTTGTTAAAAAAACTTATCAATGTTTATTTTGATACAATTGCATTTCTTTCAAGGAACTGCAAGACTTGGGACGAGATCCGCCAGCACAATGTTCTGCAGGACCAGTTGGAGATGACATGTTTCATTGGCAAGCCACAATTATGGGCCCACCCGACAGTCCTTACCAAGGCGGAGTGTTTTTTCTCACAATCCATTTCCCTACAGACTATCCCTTCAAACCTCCTAAAGTTAGTGCTTGACTAGATTGGCTGTTAAGTGTAATTATAGTTGTGTTTATAAGTGACTGTTTAGAAACGTATACTCTTGGCATGGTTGATTCAGTCGGATCTTGTTAACTATTTGCTGCCCTTTTCCAATAGGAGGGCCGATTCGTTACAAAAGTTTGTATAAAAGTTACTGAGCCAACCAATATGAATGCGAGAAAATGTTTTTCTGAGAATAACAAAATCAAAGAAGGAAAGCCTTTTATTATGAAAGTAGCACTGAATGTTCCGACCATGTCTTTTTTTTTCTAGAACTTCCTATAACTGAAATGTTTTGGCGTAGTTTTCCGAGGGGGGGGTTTGGGAGGGCTGGTGTGTGAAAAAGATGGAAGTGGACTTAAGGCACGTAAGTTTCGAGAGCGAAGTGAGATGCGAGTACCTTATGGTGATCTCTGACCTTAATTAATTTGCACTCGTATATGGTCAATGGGGATCATTAAAGTGCACCCGACATCTATCCGAAGAGCTGCATTTTGCCTGTTTGCAGTTTACTAAAGGAAGTATCACTGGCTGCATCGGCCCAGGCTGGACAGGCATAATCAATAACCGGTCTTATTTAAGTTTTATTAGTAACTACTCGAGTCTCTTTCGACTGGCCCCAATTTGTAACCGACAGTGCCTTCAGGACCGATATCACGCGCATGGCTTTACTTGCAGGTAGTCTACAGTGTTCAGAGAAGTTAAGAAGAGCTGAGTCGAAATAAACGCAGAGTTTTAGGGTGTTTTTGCTCTGATAAAAGCGAGCTACTCATAGTTACTTTCGGTTCATGGTTAAATTCTTTTTGTGTGAAGTAAAAAAGGCTCATTGAACCTTTAGTGGAAGAAACACAAAGTGATAAGCTTGTAAAAAAGTCATGTTGCTTATGAGGTACCTACTTAGCGTAGTGGAGGCGTGTTTTACGTCGCGTGATTGAACGAAAGGGTGGAAGTCATCGACATATCACTAAAATTTTTACTTCTGGGGGGATTTGGGTGCATCGTGCACGCAAGTTAAGAAGAGTAGGTGAGATAACGAGACTTGAGGGGCGCCTGTACGCACAATCCATGATGCAGACAAGGCGTCCCTGAATTGCGTCTTGGCTTGCCGGCCAATTAAATAGTTTGCTAGCCATCTGGTTGAGCTTGCGGGAACATTGGTGTTATGTAGCAGTTCCAACGGTCCATTAACAGATGATGTCGAAAGCTTTAGAGAGAAATAGAGTGGCAAGTATAGGTCTTTCAGGGTGCGTCGTTGATTAAAACCATCGCTGATATAAGATTCAAAAGTAGATAAGGCAGTTCTTGAGTGTAGGGGTCGAGTGCTGATGAGCTGCATCTGGGAGAAAGTATTTTTCCATGGTAAGAAGTACATCGGCTCGTTCAAATTTAGTTTTAACCTTTTCATTTTGGTTTCCCGTTGCACTTTCTCCGATTTGTGAACTCTCAATTTTGTAAATTGCCTGTTAAAAGCGTTTGCTATTTCTTTTGCCTTCGAAAATTAAGTTCCATTAAAAGAGCTACCGATTTTGTTCCGTTTAGGGAGCGGACCACTTTCTAAAAGTTACTGGATGACTAAAATTAAGGTCTTTAAGACATGGTTTGATGGACCTTCTTGTCAAGTTTGTCTCGCTCCTTTGCCAACTTCGAGTTCGAATTACGCCCTGCTCAGCCTTGGTTAAATGTTTGATAACACCGGTCTTCAAAAGCTTACCTTCAATTTCCTCGGTAAAAGTTTCCCAGTTTGATTTATCAAAATAAATAAAAGTTTTTCTTGCAGAGAACGGGATTTGCTCAGTTAAGGCTACATTTATTATAATTGGAAGATGGTCGGAGCCCGAATTCAAGAGGCTTCCAAGTTAAAGAGAGTAGGAATGATGATGACGCTAGATAGAAGTCCGGGGAAGAGGATGAAGTGTTACCTATTGGTAAGAGGCTCTGCTTATGATCATTGAGTGGGGTAAAATTGAGTCTGTGATTTCTGCGTCTAAAGAGGCACCTATGTTGTCTTCAGGTACGTTTGAATAGGTTTGAGTAGGCAATAACGGCTCCCGTGACGATTGCAGCTTTCCAAGTTAAAGAGACCTAGAATTATGATGACGCTAAAAAGATGTCCGAGGATGAAGTGTTGCCGAATGGTAAGCGGGCCTGATTATGATCATTTAGTAGGGTAAAAGTTGAGTCCATGATTGCTGCTCTTTTGTTTCAAGTATATTTGAATACCATAGGGCTGAGTGGGCCTTATAGCTCCTTCCTTGACGATTGCATTATCTTCTGTGAGCAGTTGAGCCACTTAAATTTTATAGTCTTTAGGGCAAATGCTGCGCGGGGGATATAAAAGTATGTAAAAATGAGGCTTTGTTTGGTCAGTTTTTCAAAAACCTGGGCCTCCAACGTCGCATCCTCTACGATTTGCAATTCATCGTACATAATCGATGTGTGTATGACAGTTAGGAGCCCTCCGTCCTCCCGTGGGTGGTCTTTTTTTATTATAGTATAGTTTGGACCAAATGAGGGAGTACGATTTTTCTTAGTCGTTTTAATCACGACTGAAAGGCTTTAATATGTTCTATCACTCGAGACTCCGATGATTATTTGTGGTACCTGATTTTGCGTTGAAAAAAGTTAAAACAAACCTGAATAAATGGAAATGTGGTCTCGGCAATCTAGGATTACAAGGATCTTGGCAATTCTTTGTTATGCATCTCCGTGCTGGTTCGCTCCCGGAGTCGACATGAGATGCATCGAACGTTTGTAGAGCAGAATCAATAAGTAGATTGTGTCTTGTATCCCCATCTAGAAGGATTGTCTTATCAAATCTGAAAGTTTTCCCATTCTTTTATAGTTGCAAATCCTAGATATTCTGACTTTAGCAAAAGTATGCAACGGACGATATGATCTATCTTTTGATGACTCTGTTAAGTTGGCAAACGCATCGACCAGATAAAACATGATGATTACTGTTCCTATATTGCGATCTCAGACTGAATTCTCTCATCAAGAGTTTTCCATAAGCACATATCGAGTTTCGCGATTTGGGTCCAGCAAATTGGGCTAGCATCAACAACAAACAACAACCGTTTAGCGATTTCTTCCGACCATATATATTCCAAAACCTATTGGTCTCAAGCCCAAACTGCTAGACACCTTGTGGAGATGCTTCATCTCAAATTTTATAGAAGTGAATATTTGCTTTTGGTGTGTCATGTGCAGAAGCTGCAATTAGTGGCTTACCTGACTGTCTTTTCGGGATTGAACTCCCATCAACTTAAGTTGTAAAGTTATTTTACTATTTTTATTCTTATTTTTATTATAATTTTTATTAGTATTATTATTATTATAATAATAATAATTATTATTATTATCGGGAGAAAATTGCTACCAAGATCCAACTACGAGTTTTAATAGATAATCATATTAAACAAGTGGGCTTTGACTCTATTTATGATTCCACTTCTTCCAGTATCTAAATATATCTGTGTTGCATTTCAGCTATTGCATAAGTCAAACCCATTAATTGGGTAAATATGGTGCAGATTGTGTATCTTGAGGGGATAGTAAGGGGTATGCGTTCAACTCAACTATTTTTTTCAAAACATTCATTTCTTCGATTTGATTTTGTGTTTTTTATATGATCTGCATTTTTGTAAAAACACTTGATTTTCCACTCGTGTATGCGGAGGAGAGTTTTTTCGCTTCCCTGACTCTTGAGATGAGCGTGTCTGTTTTTATCTATGAACAAAGCTTTTTAAGTTAAGAAGCTTCTGTTTGGTTTCTTTCTAGCATTTCGAAAGCTATTTGTAAAGTTTCTAATGATGCAGGCAATTTTGTTCCGGATGTTTTGGGCTCTTGTTCCAATTTTTATTGACAAAAACAAATTTTTTGAATTTTGTTTCAATGTTTTACGTTTGATTTTAATCATAGTTAATCATCCTCTACGATTTGCAATTCATCGTACATAATCGATGTGTGTATGACAGTTAGGAGCCCTCCGTCCTCTCGTGGGTGGTCTTTTTTTATTATAGTATAGTTTGGACCAAATGAGGGAGTACGATTTTTCTTAGTCGTTTTAATCACGACTGAAAGGCTTTAATATGTTCTATCACTCGAGACTCCGATGATTATTTGTGGTACCTGATTTTGCGTTGAAAAAAGTTAAAACACACCTGAATAAATGGAAATGTGGTCTCGGCAATCTAGGATTACAAGGATCTTGGCAATTCTTTGTTATGCATCTCCGTGCTGGTTCGCTCCCGGAGTCGACATGAGATGCATCGAACGTTTGTAGAGCAGAATCAATAAGTAGATTGTGTCTTGTATCCCCATCTAGAAGGATTGTCTTATCAAATCTGAAAGTTTTCCCATTCTTTTATAGTTGCAAATCCTAGATATTCTGACTTTAGCAAAAGTATGCAACGGACGATATGATCTATCTTTTGATGACTCTGTTAAGTTGGCAAACGCATCGACCAGATAAAACATGATGATTACTGTTCCTTTATTGCGATCTCAGACTGAATTCTCTCATCAAGAGTTTTCCATAAGCACATATCGAGTTTCGCGATTTGGGTCCAGCAAATTGGGCTAGCATCAACAACAAACAACAACCGTTTAGCGATTTCTTCCGACCATATATATTCCAAAACCTATTGGTCTCAAGCCCAAACTGCTAGACACCTTGTGGAGATGCTTCATCTAAATTTTTATAGAAGTGAATATTTGCTTTTGGTGTGTGATGTGCAGAAGCTGCAATTAGTGGCTTACCTGACTGTCTTTTCGGGATTGAACTCCCATCAACTTAAGTTGTAAAGTTGTTTTACTATTTTTATTCTTATTTTTATTATAATTTTTATTAGTATTATTATTATTATAATAATAATTATTATTATTATCGGGAGAAAATTGCTACCAAGATCCAACTACGAGTTTTAATAGATAATCATATTAAACAAGTGGGCTTTGACTCTATTTATGATTCCACTTCTTCC